CGGAAAACGGCTACATTTCGACTCAAACATTCTTATTGCCGAGCCCTGGCAACGAAAAAGGGGATAAATCCAGAGGCTAAATGTAGGGGAAAATTTCTCTAACACGTTGTGTAGCCATAATCCATGCTTTGAGCGTTCTTCTTACCGAAAAATCGGTTGACCGCAAAACGTGTCTACCTGAGCACAACGCTAGCACATAAACTGTTCAGCCAATTATCTCCAAAATTGATATTCCCCAATCGTTCTAGTTGATGTCACGGCTCAGGATTTCGAAACTGATATTTTAATCTTGGGAGCTACTTGACATGAAACTCTCCGGACATTTTGAAACTTAAAAAAAAAAATGGCTCCATATTTTTGGATGAATTGTGTTGTTGAATAGTGCGGAGGACGTTTGAGTGGTGCAGATCTTTTTTTTTGTTTATATCCTCGTATTTTCGAAAATCGCCAAAAAGAATTAATACTACAATATTTAAGATAGAGATCTTTGCCTCAAACAAAGTATGTTGTTCTTTAAAAAGGGTTATTTGTTTTGGGGTATGTGGGCTTGAAATTTAAATTGTTTTCTCTCAAAAACCGTTATAAATTTTCTCTTTAACTTTTCTCCCCCTATGTAATAAGAGACGGTAAAAAAGATTATGCTAATCCCATATTCGGGTATTGGTCGTTTTTTCGATAATTGCAAAAAAATCAAAACTACAATATTGAAGATGGAGGTTTTTGTGTCAAATTAGCTCTTTAAAAAAGATCATGAACAATTTTTTGTAGAAGATAGTAGTTTTTGTGTAATTTCTGTTGAATATGAATGAAGCATTATTGGCGTTCCGTCGTACATATCGATAACGTTGTAATATTGCAAGAAAGTATGTGCTGTGGTCATTTCTCAACACGTCCGTCCGTCTGTCTGCGAACAGCACTAGTACCTAAATCATACTTAGGATGTTTTCCAAAATGGATATTCCTCGGTCCATAGTCCTTGCTGAATCATTTTCTCTTCTTTCAACAATTCAAAGTTTTACTCGCATTTACTGAAGAGTAAATTAGGCACTCAAGTCTTCCGAAGATGTCAGAGCATGTGTGTATTGGCACAAATATCGGAAAGGGAAAGCTCTTTGATTTCTCCTAGAGCATTTATAGAACAAACATATTTCATTGTCAAATGAATGTAGACAATCAATTTGCAAGTATTGATAACTAATATCTTTTTGAAGAATAGAAATGCGAAAAATAAAATATCAACGGCTATAATACAGAGTTTATAAATAGGGGATTGTTTGGTGTGTTGAAAGTGATATAGTTTTATTTACAAAAGAGAAACATTAAAATTGCATTCGGATACTAATTCGCGTGATGCATGCTATTCCTTCCAAATTTCAGTGCCATATGATAGGAAGATGAGTTTATATTACCGCTTTGTCATTTGTCATGATTTTAGATAATGGGCTTCTCTCAAATTTTGTCGATATCAATTCTGCCCTTATATTGTACGAACATGTGCGTGATAGGTTGCATTTATCATTTATGAAGTTCAGTTAATTATTTTTATTGAAATAGTGACTCAATCAAATTATTCAATTTCGTTTCACGAGTATAATAAGAATAACATATAACATTTTCCTTTCTTATCGTAAAACCGCGAATTTTTTATATAAAAAGGTGAATTTTCATTTACAAATCAGATCATTTTATGGATTTACTAAGTTATTCATCGATAGGCTTTTCGTATCAACTTCACAACGAACTTTTCTCTGGAAGAAGTTGTTGGAGGGAACTTTCTCGTGTGTGAAGAAAATTTTGGAATACTTACTGCAACAAAAGTGCCCTTTTTATAGAACTCGTTTGTGGCCCCGTGATACTGTGGAAGATGATTTTTCTTGCACCTTCATGTAGTAAATTATTTTCTCAAATATGCAATGTAATCAGAATCCACGTTTTGTGGGGAGTGAAAAATTGATTTTCGTCAAAATGATCGTCCTTCTACAACACTTATACCTAAATCATACATACTCGTTTTGGAATTTCCCTCAAAATAAATATTCCTTCATCGATCTGATCAGTGTATTGGTTTAAATCATGTGTTTGTGTATATATATTGTATAATCATTTACTTTCTAATACATATGAATTCATATAATGTAAATTTGATCACTTTCTGGTTATCTCAATGGTTGACCAAAAATGTATTCCATTGTGAATAGAAACACAAATTTTATTTTCTTGCTACTCGAAGACCTAATGCTACTAGAAAAACAGAATAAGATGAACATTTGAAAGGAAGGAGACCATATCAATAAAATCGTTATAAATAATTATAATTGTTCAGCTTAGTGCGATATTGCAAAGTGTATTGAAAGGTAATTTCGTACATGGAGCTGAACACCTAAGATAGTTTAGT